AACCCTGTAATCTGTGAGTTCTGTGTGGCCACTGCAGTGAATTATCGAACCCAGGAAAGAGGTGGTGGGTGCTTTGGGAGGAACGGTTGGTGAAAGGGCTGGAGGGAGGCAGCATGTTTGGCCTGGCAGGAATAGGCCTTGGGTTACTGCTGGTAATCCTGTCTTCATCTTGTGAGATTAGAGGTCAGAACATGTGGCCTCCTTGCCATTTTTGCAGGGATCAATCAGAAAAAAGATCAAGACAAAATGAAGAAAGCCTAAGGTTCATGTGGGATACCATCAAAAGGAATAACCTACATGTAACTGGAATTCCAGAACAGGAAGAGAATAATAAAACCACAGAGAAAATTGTTGAAGATTTGTTGGAAGAGAATTTTCCTGGTATGATGAAAGATGAGAATATATCCATTCAAGAAGTGCAGCCAACCCCAAACAGAATAAGCCCCAAGAGAAAATCACCCAGACATATCATCAAACTCACCAAAACCAAAGACAAAGAAACAATCAGGAGAAGCAGCAAGGGAAAAACAAAAAGTTACCTACAAGGGGCAGCCAATAAGACTAAGCTCAGATTTCTCAGCAGAAACCATGCAAGAAGGCAATAGGATGGTATATATGAAACCCTGAAACAGAAAAATTTCCAACCAAGAATTATATACCCAGCAAAACTGTCCTTCAAATAATGATGGTGAAATTAGGACATTTCCAGATAAGCAGAAATGAAGGGAATTTGTTAAAACCAGACCAACCTTACAAGAGATGCTACAGGAAGCCCATTGGACAGAGAAGCAACAACAGCCAACAACAACTGACCGTTAAGACACATGATGATATAACCCAGAAACCAACCCAGCTATGGAAGTATCCAAAGTAAAGAAGTCTACAAGATTGTAAATGGGGAACCAGAGACATCAACTGACAATGAGGACAACTGCAAACCAAAAAGAGGGAAAAAACTGTGTCATTACAGAACTTCTAGACGGTAGGGAAGTCAAGACAACTACAAGATCGAATGGAGTGTTTTAAACTTGGGGAGAAAACTATAAATCACAGAGTAACCTCAAAGAAAAATGATAAACCTTCACATCAAAAAGGAGTACCAGCATAAATATTCAGCAAATACTAAAACAACAGCAATGCAGGAAACAATAACATGATTCACAGAATGAGCTCAGCATAGAAAATTACATGGAACAAAGAAATGGACACCATGAAAAAGCACATAACAAAAATAACAGCAACAAATTCCTATGTGCTGATAATTACATATCTGGCAAGGGACTTACCTCCAAGATTTATAGCGGAAGAGTGGGTGACCAAACTATGGTACATACACATAATGGAATGCTATGCAGCACTAAAGAAAAATGCAGAGTCTGCAAACCACTGCATAATATGGATGAACTTGGAGGACATTATGCTGAGTGAAATAAGTCAATCACAAATATAGTATTTGTTCATTGTTATGGAGGGTCAAGGAAAGGTGTATATATGGAGGGAATCTTTCTTTGTTGGTTGCCAGGGGTGGGATGGGAGGGGAGGGAACACTGCAAAAAAAAAAAAAATGCATTGACCCATATCATTTTAGTTTTGTGTATTTCACCGTACATAAATTATATTTCAATAAAATGCATTAAAAAAAATTGGAGATTTGCAGGAAAGGCAAAAAAATGATTCTGTAAATTTTACTGTCTTCCACTCCTCGGAAGGAAGGTTGGGCAATCTACTTCCGTAGTGATACTGTCTAGGAAACTCTGAGTCAGTCCGATTACAAGGCATGTAATAACAACAACGTCAATATGGGAGATGAATGAGGATCAAGAGCCAATGAGAAGCATTCCTGCCCTGAGACTAGGCTAGAAGAACATTTTTATGTGAATTTACTGGGAGAGCTGTAATCCAAATACCGGCAATACTGTTGTGTTGTTACTGTTGTGTGCCGTGGGGTTGGACCCGACTCATAGCGACCCCTCCTTGGGTTTCCGAGGCAGTGTCACTACAGAAGTAGACTGTCCCATCTTCCTTCTGAGGAGTGGCTGGTGGGTTTGAACCGCCAGCCTTCTGGTTAGCAGTCAAGTGCCTTAGGCACTGCACCACCAGAGCTCCCATTCTCAACCTTAAGTATATAGAAACCATTTGCCTTTGAGTCTATTCCAACTCAAAGCAGCACTATAGGGCAGAATAGAACTGTCTGGTAGGGTTGCCAAAGCTGTAATCTTTATAGAAGCAGACTGCCCATCTTTCCCCCACAGAGCAGCTGATGGGTTTGAACTGCTGACCTTTTGATTAGTAGCTAAGTACTTAACCACTACACCACCAAGGCTCTTCTCCCCACCCCCCCTTTTTTTTCCCTTTGCACTTTGCTATAGAGCTTGGGAAGAAGCCTTGTTGTTGTTGTTATGTGCTGTCGAGTTGGCCCCAACTCATAGTTACCCCTCCTCGGGTTTCCGAGGCAGTATCACTATGGAAGTAGATTGCCCAACCTTCCTTCTGAGGAGTGGCTGGTGGGTTTGAACCGCCA